CAGCACAAAATGACGTCAACATATATGGGCGTCACGATTGATCGAGCCCTGTCATTTAAGCCACATATGGAAAAAAACAGCAGTAAGATCAAGATGAGAATAAACTTCTTACGAAAACTTAGAGGCATTTCTTGGGAGCAGGTGCCTTCGTATTGTGCACTTCGGCCGTCGCGCTTGTGTGTTCTGTCGCGGAGCCTTGTTCCCCGTTTGGTGCCACCGCTGCCATACAAGCAAATTAGACACGCAGCTCAATGGAGCAATGCGAATAGTATCAGGAACACTGAAGGCAACCCAAACACAGTGGTTGCCGACTCTGGGACATACTGAACCTCCTCATCTCTAGAGGGGCGAGCAGGGGGTCTCGCATTTTCATAGCACTGATAGAAATCCGGTTATCCTTCCACTGTATTCTCCAACAGCCACCAGTACGACGCCTGAAATCACGCCACTGACCATGGGAACTTGCAAAGACACCGCGTCTGAGTCTCGAGGAACGATGGCGAACTGAGTGGGACGCTACAGCTGTCGATAACAAAGACCTAATCTCCAGTCCGACCACAGGACCCCTGGCATGGACTTGAATCACCTAGAATGGTCGAAATTAAGCAGGATTCGAACAGGGCAAGGACGCTGTGGACGTCTACTCAATCGCTGGAAGATGAAATCCAGTGTGACTGCGATCATGAAGATCAGACTGTGCAGCACATTATTTCCGAATGTTCGCTGCGAAAGTTCTTTGGCAGCATAACTGAATTTCAGAATGCTACCGCGGCAGCCATTCACTGGCTTAGAAATCTTGACATTGACCTGTGAAGGTGCTAGTCATTTCTTCCTGCCATACGACAGAAGAAGAACGGCGCCATCGCCTGAGGTTGCAGCTTGTGGACGGAACGGTCCTAATTGAGTTCCCGAATATTGCGTTGTAATACCGCTGGCTCGTTGAGTGTAGCTGTTCGAAAGAACGGCGTTTTCTTCTAGGCTACTCTCTGATTTTCCGCTGATCCCTTGCTGTTTCACGCTGACTATCAAATGCTATGCCCGTGATATTATGTAAATATCTTTTTAACTTTTGCACGGTCGCTAGCAGCTATTCCCATAAAGTTGTGCCGTTTGCTTTTAGCTGTTTACACGCTTTTTATCTTTTAAAAAGGTATGCTTTCGCGGAGGTTTCTGTTTGTTTCGCCGCAGCCTCTAACGAGGCATTCATACCGTTCGTTGTTTAGCCATAGGTATTATTTTCAGTTCCATCTCGGTTATGCAGCATCCCAGAGGCGCGCTTTTGCTGTTGACCGCCCCGTTTCGTTGTACGTTCAGGCGTGGTAAGTCGACTGCTTGGCGCTAGCAGCTCTTTGAAGGGAAATCGTTTGAGACATCGTCTTTTTTTACAGGCAGAATCGGTCTCATCCAGCTGTTGCTGGCTGTCAGCACGTGCTACGTCCTCGGCTTCTTCCTCTTGCCTCCTCTGAGGAAAAGTTCGTTATAGCGTTTATTGGTTTGTGGTGTTTGTCGCATTACGCCTGTTGTTATATTTGTAGGTCTAATCAGCGACGTCTCACCTACCTCCCCCTGCTCATCGCCATCCACCACAATGCGAGATTGCCGTAACGAAGAGTTCAGCTTTTCGCTGACCGCTGACCTTGTCGACCTGCTGACCGTCAAAAGTCGCCTACAGCTGGAATCCGTAACGCAAGTCGACGCGTCATTGTCATGGCTAGCCTTAATCGCTGTTTTAAAGGGTATTCGATGAACGGAATGTGACCGGCGATGTCGTGGTAGTGGCTTTCGACCGTGAGTTGTTTGCATTTTTGATCTTGAAATTTTCACCTACGTTGTTGTTGTTGTTTAGCTCTGAACCTGACGGTGACCAGCGTTGATAACTTCGACCTATCCGTTGATGGTAAGGTGCCATGATGGGCATAGTTTTCGATTTTCAAGGTTTCTGATTTGCAGCAGTTTTGCTGCGCACCGTTCTGTAGGGATTAAAGTTTGATCTAACAATGTTAGTGTTTAACGCCCTTCTTGCAAGCGTCATCGTCATTTAAGGTTTGCAAAGGTGTGAACGGAAAACTCACCCGGATGACTCTAACCGTTCGAAATAGTGTCTTAGGTTAGCACTAGATAGTGTTCGCTACTGCTGCGGAAAACGATTATTTTTTTTGTTGGAATTTTTGTCGCATGCAGATTCTGTCTCAAAAAGCTATGGTTTTTTTAATGAGTATACCATAGTTGGACAGTTTAACCCACTAGAGCGGTTTTAAGACAGTTTCCATCCCGTATTTGGAATATTCCATCACACCAGGCTGAGTACCGGTTTCTATGTTCTCGTCCAGTTTTGTCAAACCATTTGTTCGTGATCTCATGGTACCATCGCTCTGCGAACGTAATTTGTCTATTATACCGTGCAGGCTTTGTTAAAAGTTATATTCCAGTACACCGGCCATGAGAGCGGCATGTAGGAAATGTGCTGTTGGGGAACCAGAATTGGCTCTAAGGTTCGAAGAACATGTATCAAACAGCCAGTATGTTGTTGAATGGACTTTTGTCGTATCGTAGTTTGTCCAGTGATTCATAACAGATAATGTAGCTGTTGTGCCGATCAGGCAGCGAGACCTCTCATCTTCACATGCGAACAAATTTCTAACCAGCCTATGGGATGGGCCCTCACCATAACAGACCCGCTCATCCGGTTGCTAAATTTATGTACACCGGTGTTGGATGCTAGCTAGGCAGCTTTTCAGGCATTTAGAAAGAGGCAATGGAGAGAGCACCTAACATAATCGAGCTCTTTCTTGTCACATTTGTTTTTATGCTAACCTGTTTTATTTGTTTGTTTTCCCGTAGTTCTGTCACCTTAACGATTGGGTTCGTGCCACTTCTGAGCACTTTTAACAAAGTAACAATATTCAAATTTAACCTGCTTTGTTTTCGGAAAGTTGGATTTTTTATAACAAAGAACTGAGTGGGATTTAAAAAGGTATGTAAAGAAGTCAGTTATGACTATTTAAGTTTCGTTCCAACTTCATGGAGGATTAACAGCAGTGTCTCTTCGCCATTGACTGTGGTGGAAACTGACTGTTATTGGTACCAGCTGTTTTGTTCTTCCTCACCTCAACTGCATCTCTCTCACGTCAGTCATTGTCCTTTGTCCGGTTTACATATGTATTTCCCTCGAAGATGTATTGCCAGAGTTTTTTTTAGTCAACCTGGTGTTATCCTTGTCACATTTTCACGCAGCTTCAGCTGACAAACTCTATTCTGTTTAGAATCGTGCGCTTGGTGCGAATCGTATTCGTTGTGTCATTTTTAATTCAATTTGTCTCAAGCGGCATAGGTAATTTCTATTATTCGCTTGCTTTTCATACCGTTGTCAATTACTGGTTCTTATGGTCATATTGGAAATATTCTTGAAACGGGAAAAGCTGCCTACTTTTAGCTTGAGATGAGAAACATCAACCAACATATAGATTTGTTCTTAGAATATCAGGGTTTTCGTTTAGACAGGGAATTGGCGATTTCGCTGATGCACGCCCCGGCGAAAAGAATCGTTTTTATCGCATCCGTAACACAAAGTTTTGGCAACAAGTATTTGTTTCATTTTATTAAATTGATGAATATGACGCTCTAAGCAAGTTCTTTTATCATTCATAGGCTGTCAGATCGCACGAGAACGATTCTTTCGCTCTATGGAAGCAAACGAATTCGTTCGGTAGACAAAGACGATATCTTTCTTATGGTGGGACAAAAAGGACTGGAGGAGGGAAAAGCCCTCGAAATGGCAATTTTTTATTATTTATTCTATATCTTAAATGTATTTAATGCGTTCTACATTAAAACTACAATTAGTAGGGTGGGAGTGTGGGGTTGGGTAAGTTTTATAAATGACGCAGTAACACCGTTTGTTCTGAATAGGCTGTTTTGTATGACATACTTTCAGATGATTAAAAAACCTGATTTCGTGCCATACATCCCGATTAATACCTTTCCGTTCATTTGTTCTTGTATTGTTTTTTTCCTTCGTCTTTTTGCTGATTTACTTGCTCAGTCATTCGCACTCACCCTCTCACTTTTATCGTTTTTCATTTATAACTTTGATGGCTACTATCTTTTCCCAATTATTTCCAGCGTTCCTGCATCGTCATGACAAATTTTCTGTGCCTTTTAGGCGTTGACTTTTAGGAGAAACTGAGCAAACTGTTTACATAAAGAAAGCTGAGGGGGTTCGAACGTGTAAATTTTTTTTTAGGGGTTTCAGAAATGGGACGAAACTGTTAATGCATAGACTACTTAAACATTTTGTTAATGTCATATCTGTTCATGACGTTAATGTTTTTTAGAGTATTATTGTAATTTGAAACCGTTGGAACTTGTAATTGTAATGCTAACAGTACCTTTATACAAAAAATAAAAGTCTCAGACAATAGCGGAAAAACATTACAAGTCTTAAATTTCACCTTGTGAAATAAACATTAACGATTATTTGGTTCTACTGTTTTCTTATTTGAATGAGCATTGCTAGGTCAACGTTTAATATTTCTTTGACTTTTCAAGTTAGAAACATCTGTTGTGTTAAGTACAGACTTTGGAACATCTGATTATGTTTTACGTATATTTTCCTATGTGTAGTGGCATTTTATTTATGCTCGAAGCGTACTTGTTCAACCCTACTCAGAGATGCGACTCTGTACCCAATGTACTGCAGGGGGTCAAATACCATGGAACCGTGACCCGCTTAAATTTCCCCTCTAGGCAACTGGAATCAAGGGAATAGTGCTTTTACGCCGTGAAAATCCGGTATCAGAAATCGAAGTGTTAAGTTCCGAGTACTTCTCATTCCTTACTGTTGCGTTTCAGCGAAAAGTTTGGCTCGAATTCTGCTTCTAAAAATTTTAATTTTTGGTGTGCATGTTATGTTTTACCGATATTTGTAACATACTATGTTGGTCAACGGTAACTGCAGCCGTAAAGTGTATGCATTAGATAGTTTAACCGTAAGTACTGCGCGCTCGGGTGTAATAACGGTATACCATACTGTCTTTATTATTTGCAGACTGATGATCTGTTACCTGTGTCTTGGCTGGTTACACCCAAATACATTTGGGCAATTAATTTAGCCAAGGTTCAAGGGAATCAGTAGTTGATAAAAAAGATTTAGGCCCCTTCATGTTTCGACCTTTCAATGTCTGTTATTTTAAGCGTCATCATTGCAAAAGTAGTTGACAGGAAAACTTTGGTTTCTTGTAAATGCTGTGTGATCTCTACTTCTTAAAAATTAATTTTACTGTAAATCTTTGATCGTTACGTATTATGTAATTTATCTAGCTTTTTATTGAGAGTACCGCTTATAAATGAATTTGAAGTTACAAGCAATCTTGCTCAGACTTTACCGACAAGGGTTTTCTATTTTAACTGCATAAAAAGTATTGACGAAGTGTTTTGATCGAAAAGTTTTGCTTTTAAAACTATTGTACAAGACAGTTTAAATTTGATGACTGGTGTCATACCTTAGATTGATACGCTTCGTTTAGCTGGGACGGTTTCACCCTGACGCCGGTAAAGAAAGCTATTCATATCGTCTCTGCTGCTGTTTTGCATATCCATGTAAGACTTTTGTCTATGCTTTTCACCAGTACATTTGTTATTGCTTAATTTGTCACACGCGCTGTGTAAATTTAATTAGGCAATAATATCGCGTTTTCGATTTTAAATTTCTGAATCTAAAAGGGAAAGAGAAAGACTTTAACTTGGAAACTATTTTTGTTATATAATAATATTACGTGCTTTTTCGTTTTGTTGGTCATCGCTTGTGTTCTGTTGTCTTTCTTTAACTACTTCGTAATGATTTATTGCTTTTTGAAGGCGTAATGAATTATTGTTTGTGCTTAGTTGCTTTTGTTTCATGATGATACGGAACAGAGAGAGGCGATTTTGTAAACTAAAAGGTAAATTGAAATATCTATATAGATTTCTTTCTGAGGCAGGACATGAGGTAGAAAATAATCGTACATATCGTTCGGATCAGATGCTATTCTCACGTGCGCAAATATAGTTGATGTCGCTGACGATATTCCTTCTTACTTGTGGCTGAATACTAATCTCCATCTTGAAAGTGAGTTTGCATACAATTTGCTGTGTATGTAGTTACCGTCAGTATTTTCGTATCACCTTTCTTTATTAACGGGATCATCATTATCTAGTATTGATCATCACGCTCGTCAGTCTTGTGCGATTGTAGCTGAAGGCTTTCATATCTCCTCTTTTGGCTCATCTTTCCATCCGACAAATTTACTGTATGTATCATAAAACGTCATAAATTTTATTCCTGGCGCGGAATCAAGAAAAGTGTCTTCTTATGGCGATAAGTATTTAGGCTCCTTGCGATAAGCCGACAAAAACGCAACATGTTCCTGTGCCACTGTTAGATTAGCATATTGGTCCGAACGTTTACTTTTACTCATACGCTTAGAAAAACTTCTCGTTTTCTAAATATCTGTTTCCTCAAACATGCGTAAGATGTCAGTGTATTAGTTTTTTAGTCGGTGGCTTTGTAGTTGCCATAATAAGCTGGCAGAGTCTAAGTGGTGGTGTCTAACTAGTCGTTAATTATGGCGTGACTACATACAATTAGCGTTCGCGACGAACCTTGCGTTGCTCGTACTTGTATGTTAATTTAGAGTTTTAGTAGGTACGGTAGACCTATCGCCATTCACGATGCAGCGAAACGTTCCGTCGCAGCTGATTCTACGTCGGCAGAAGCTGAACTCCGTCGAAGTGGGTCATCTGCTACCGAATTGTGGCATGAAGACGCACTGCCCTCACGCATCTGTGACAGTCGTAATCGATAGTGGCCAGTCATCGAATAACGACGTTTCCATCTGCATCAACGAGCACATGTAACGCAAAATACGGTGTATTTATTGCGTTGTGGGTTACAAACGATTGAAGAACAGTGTACTGTTATTTTGCCATGTATAACAGCGCGGAAATAAGATTATGCCTCGTTTCGTTGCAGAAAATGATTAGTGATATCCATATTGCCTAATTTTTTTGCGAAATACAAGGCTAATCCCTTCCTCAGTCCCGTGAAAAATGCCAGAGAAACAGTTAGATAATGCTTAATCAGTTTAAGCTTTTCAGGTTTGTTGATAAATCCTGCTTAACTATGCCATGGGCTATTTTCTTCGTCATAATCCTAGTCAGTCGAATATGCTGCAGAACTTCTTAACATGGAAAAGAATGATATAGTTTAAGGGATGTCACAGCCATATACATGCATGCAAGTAAGTTTTCGAACCATTATCGGTCTTCGCAACTGCAACAAGTGAAGTGTAGTGTTTTCATTTGAATCGAATTGACTTAACGTATTGATGGTGCTGCATTTTCGTTAGCCAGGAACGACCATTGTTTTGTTTTGGACCATCTCTCGCTGGTATGTCGTTTTTTGTGCTGATTATCATATGGATTGTCAGCTATCAGCTAGGTCACTGCAAAATGCGACCTCAAGAGGCGTCCGTATAGGATATCATGGTCGCACGTCTCGCTGATGCTGGTATGATTACACTAGAGCATCACGCTGTCCATACTGTTTGCTCACAAATCAGTGACTTGCTGTTCTTTTCTCGGCTGGTAGCACCGAAGAGTAACGTTAGGTGATTTCAAGTGAATTCGAAGCTAAGACAAAAATCGTCCTTTCTCTTGATTCAAACCCTTACGTATGGAGTTCGTAGCTGACCTTGTTTGCTCATGTGCCACCGTTCATCTACTCCTTTGAGAACTTGGCTCAGATAGTTAGTTTCACGGATTGCTAATGCTTCTTTGACTGTGCGAGTCAGATAATGCAGACTCGTGCGGTGACATCTTCCATTTTCCCCTGAAAAGATGTTTTGGTTGGTCCTTACGTGTTGTCTAATAGCCCTAATTTCTCTCACATTTTGGTTTTACAACCTCTTGCAAATTTTGAGTGGCTCTCATCCCTTTGCCGACTTGTTGGAAACCGTTTCTCTGGCTTTAATATTCTTCCACCTGATGAAGTTTTCTATACTCTGATTTCTTTTCTCATCTACGGTGTTGTTTTCCGACGAACGGCATCACATTTACACAACCGCTTGTAACTCGGAAAAACAAACAGTTCAGTTGATAACTGTAGCGAGTATTTTGACTTTCGACCAGGGCAGTGAAATATCCGTGTTTTTTCTATAGTTTGGTTTTCCAAGATGATGGTGCCGTATCACATTTTAAGCTGGAGTCATACTGCAGACGGTATTATGCTAGTATTTTGATTTGAATGTATTCTTATATGTCAAGATGAAAGACTTTTGTTCAGTGCAATGACTGTGTTCGTGAAGTAAGTCAGAAAGACGACTGTATGAGCACGTTTTGAACAACC